ACAGGCGCTCTGTCTCCTACAGAGTTGGGGTGCGGCTCACAGGGAAGGGAAAGTTAAAGTGCTCGTATTTAAAAAAAATGTGAAGAGAGATGGCTGTACGTTTTCAGTGGTTCTTGGGGATGCATTTTTGAAAGCGGTTAGTAATGGGTGGCTGAGGGGTCTCTTGCCTTAAGACTTCCCTTTCAGAAGAAAATGAATGTTTTCTGGGCTCTTAGCACTCATACCCAACATTTCTTTACTTTTAAAATGTTTTGCTAGCATGCAAACCACTTCACTACACAAAGGAAAATGTCTTTTATGAGTTGCTTTTATTTTAATGTTTATAAGCAACTAGTAACTAAAGATGCCCATTAAGGTACTGAATGTGCACAATTAATTGAACATCTTTTTAAATTTATGATCTATTTTATTTTAGAGAGAGTGCATGCGTGCACATGCCTGTGTGTGGGAGAGGGTTAGAGGGAGTCACAAAGGGAGAGAGAATCCAGCAAACTCCCCGCTGAAGGGGAGCCCAAAGGGGTAGGGGTGGGGAGCTTGATCCCAGCTTGAGCTCATGACCTGAGTGGAAACCAAGAGTCATATGCTTTACTGACTGAACCCCCCAGGAGCCCCTAACTGAACATCTTTTAACAGAATTTTGTTTTGAGCTCTTAAGTGACTTAGGCAGAATTTTGTTAGCTGTTGGTGTTGCCTTTTAAGTACACTGTGAAATGATATTTAAAAGTAAATAAAGGAGATGCTGCACAGTTTCGAATTACAGAAATTAAAATGTCCCACTTTCAGTAGAGAAGGAAGAATTTATATAATTGACCATTTGGATGTTGAATAAAAAGGAGAGGCAGTTACACCTAGTGGCTTCTGATTTGTTTAGATATAAATTTTATGAGGACATGGTGGTTCAAACCAACATAGTATAGTTGTAATCAGAATACACCCATCTGTTTTGCATATAGCCATGCTTGGTTATTGTAAGCACTTGTTTGCAATGTATTTAGAAGGCCAAAATGTTATATTGGTGGTTGTACACTTAAGTCAGACTCCAGAGAAACACATTTATCTGAGGGCATAAAATTTGGATTTAATGATGGAAAACTGTAGATCTCCTGCTTAAATTCAGTCAGCACCTGATCAGTGACCTTATTTCTGTCTGTAATGGTTCCTTTCTTTGTTCAAATTAATGCATTGGAGCCTTAGGGTAGTTGAAGAGATTTCATGAGAAAGTTGGTTGGTAATATGAGCAATATGTAGGATTTAAAAATTCTTCATAAGATAAATATTTTTTCCATTTCTAGTACTTGCCTGATTTTATTTGTTACCCTTAAATTAAATACAGCTGAAGTTAATTTTGGTGTAAGGAGTGAGGTAGGGCTCCAAGTTTTCTTTTTCCTTTCAAATTGCTGGCCAGTTATCTCAAAACCATTTAATGATTAAAGAAGTAATTTAAAAATGTGCCTGTGCCCATAAAGCTATTAAAAAGTAAAATGATTGGAATTTTGGAAAAAGTGTGGCATGATTTTCTGTTCGCAGTTGGTTTTATTCCAATTAAGATGCATTCAAGGCTTAATGAAGCCTTGTTCTTAATGTTAAAGAACAAACTCAGGAACTAGGAAGACGCTCAGTTACCTACAAAAAATTTAAATGAAGGAGCTGCATTGGAACTGCAAAGAAGAATTAAATGATTTGTATCAGAATTGCAGATATAATGAAAATATTTTGAGGTGTATACAGAAGGAAGGGTATTTACTGCCTGGCTTCTTTCTTTTTATAGTTTTATTTATTTACTTATTTTTAAAATTTAAATTCAATTAATCACCATATAATGTATTATTGGCTTCAGGGGTACAGGTCTGTGATTCATCAGTCTTATATAATACCCAGTGCTCATTACAACATAAAACCTCAGTGGTTGCCTGGTGTCTTGAGCAGCTGCAAACTTCTGGAGTCCTTGCTATGCGAGTCAAATCAGTCACAGCCACAGATCTTGTGAAGGCAGCCAGATACAATCCTAACTGATCCTGTACTTTTTTTTCTGGCTGCTTCTCTGTCTCCACTTTTTACTTTATATTTTCATTTAGCTTGGTTTACTTTTTAAATTTTAAAACAGTTACTAGAAATAGAGAGTATTTTGAATGTTGGACAGCTGAAGGAAAAAAATGACAATAATGGAGACAGTAAAGAACTTAGTGGAAATAGAATAATGATTTGAGAAATACAATTTAATTTGCATAACAACATTTTATTATCATCAAGATGTTAAGCCCTTGAACAATCTACATTTTATTTTCATAACAAAGAGACGAATAGCCAGTAAAAGAGATGATTTTAGGAATTTATTATTATTTTTTTTAAAAAAGCAACTTCCAGAGTTTGTCATTGTGCAGGGTTAGCCCAGTCTCCTATAGCATGGTACAGTGATAACTGATTTTTTATAACAATGACTCACTGGAGATCCATAACTGTCTTCTGAATTATCACGGAAAGAAGAAAGGACTAGTAGAAGAGTTTAATGTTAAGTGTATTTAAAAAAATCATATTCTAATTCTTTTAAGTTGGTTATCCAAGTACAATAATATAATAGAGCTCAGATAACTAGAAAAGTTAATTGACTAGAATACCCCATTCTCATCTGGTGTGCATTAACAGGCTTTTCACTGCATATATCTTTATATAGTTCTCAAGCTAATTCAACCCATTTTACACAGCATTAATTGTTTTTATTGAGTTGGCATTGGGCTGAAACTTGCTTACTATCTCACGATTATTATTATTTTTTCTAGTTCTTTGGTGGATTTTTCTCATCTGACAGTGTTTGGACTCTAGTGTTTATGAGACATCAGAATCATCTTGGCCCCTTTTAGTGCTATTTACAATGAGGTGACCCATGGCCAGATATCCAAGTCTATTCACTAATTTGCCCACCTGCTCTGTTCTTGACCTTGGTCAAAGAGAGAACTTATACAGTCTCACTGGAGTATGTGCAGAGCTCCAGGCCAGAAACTGTTTGTGAGCTGGTCTTTAACGGAGAGGACCACGGAACTCAACGTTCTTATTAATGCTGTGCAAACAGGGGTCTCGTCATTTTCGTAACTATTTGTACATTTAGAAAAGCAATACAGTCATGGGAAAACCAACAAGCACAGCTTGGTAGAATAACCTGCCATGAAATATCATTGGCTTTATAATAATTTACTACAACCGTCCTTTTTATTCACACTGGATAGGAAATGCTTCCATCTAACACATGGAATACGAATATATACAACAAAAAATTGGTCTTTATTAAAAAAAACTTCACAAGGACAATAACATGGGGGTTGAAAATATAATTTTGTGCAGTTTCCTGATGACAATCATATGTCTGCTGCCTTTTACAGGGAATGATACAAGTACTGATAGATTTATAAGTCAAAGAATTTTGTCTGTAAGAGCCTACTATTGCCTTATTTGTATAGTCTAGAAGTTTCACCTTCTCAAATGTAAATTCTGAATGACTAGGGATGACATGATGAGTCCGTTTTAAGGACAAACCCTGCTAATCCTCTTGGAAATCAGCACATCTTTGCAGTTCCCTATTCATCCGAAAGTTCACCAAGACGTTGTGGAAACTGCACAGGGCTTCTCATTAATGTGCCCCTGAGATCCTGAATGGTGCCCGCCATCTTGTACAATGTCTGTATCTTGGCTTGAACTTTCTTATGGCCGCAGTGAGTCAGGCGGCAGTGGTGTGGGGTGGACTGTTCTGTACTGCCCGCAGTCAAAACAGTTGCCATGGGCTCAACGTCTCTATGCTGTGAGCCTGGGGAGCCCATTCTCCTATGGAATGGTTTGCCGGAGACCAGCAATGTCACTGTAGGCGACTGAGACATTGCGGCCCCTGGTTCATGAGGGACTATACTAAAGAAGCCTCGTGTTGTAAGAATAGACAATACAGGCCAGGTTGAGGGGATGGCAAAGGGAGGTTGCTTTCCTAAGTCCTGGAAACCATCTCTGACTTTAGCTCTATGAGAAGGCTGGGCATTTGGAAGTGGCAGGCTGGGAGAAAGGCTGGGTCTGAGGTACACTTAGAGATGTGTCAGTTTGGCATTGGCGCTGTGGATTTAGTGCATGTGGTCCCCCACTAAGGCACTGCCGAGATCTGTGTTCCCCTGACTGTACCTTTTATGCCCAAGGATTCCCCATTCCTCTGAGCAATTCCTGTTTGTTTCTGCTTTCTAAAGTAGGGATGGAAAATAGGGCTCATCTCTCTCTCAAATTCTGACTGGATTAATGGTGGCTCCTTGAACTTGTGGTGTGAGGATTGTGAAGAAATTGTTGGGCTTCATGGATAGTGCTATGATTGATGAACAATGTCTGCCATGGCTACAAGAATTGGTGTTGATGGAATGCATGCCAGGTCCTTATGTTTCTGTTCTAAGTAAGATGTAAGAATCAGGCTGGTTTGATAGGTTCTTGAAGGATATTTGGAGACCATAACCCAAAGCACCAAGTTTATATTCATTTTATATTCTGCTTTGTTCCAGAAAAGATTTAAGACTTTGAGCAGTTTGGGAGAGGAATTTTAAGACCTGCAGAAAGCTGGAGGGGGAGATAATTTTGAATGGGGGTGCCGGAGGCCCTCTGTTTTCACCCTGGATGATGAAGCCCAATGTTTAGAAAGCGATTATAGGGCTTACTGATGACAACAGATTCAGAAAGACTTGGAGGAATGGGGTGGATCCCAGGCCTGGTGGGAATTTCAGGCAGAACATCTAGTATATTCCTTCTGGGTTGACAGCTTATATTTATGAGTATGTTGAAAGCCAAGGAGAAATATATTTGCATCTACACATACATGGCTTTTTTTGTGTGGTTAATTAAAGAACCTGGAGATGGTTTCCATATTATGTTATGACCATTGTCTCTCAACTCTACCTACAAATCTCTGGTATACAACTTTACCAAGAAAGAAAGAAAGGAAGGAAGGAAGGAAGGAAGGAAGGAAGGAAGGAAGGAAGGAAGGAACGAACCACGAGATTGTATGGTAGGTGCTAGTGATGCCATTTTGGGAAGATCAACTCACATTTGTCTCTGAAAAATGGGATTAGTCATTTTTTTCATATCTTAACTGATTTAAACTGAAGCCTAATCTTGATTTTTAACATGAATCATTAACAGGTTGCTCTTCAACAATGCCATTGTCTGTTGATTAGTGGACCATATCGGGCCAAAGCCAGCCACCGCTAGCTGCTCGTGGCCTGTGGGTTTTAGAAACTGTCTGATGCTCTCATCAGTACTCGCCAGTCAATGCACACACCTGATTTCACTTACACAGCAACGTGGCAACATAACTTTTTCCATCTGTAAACACCTGCTCTCTTTCTCGCTTGAAAACTGGGAGAATTGGAAAGGAAAATAAGGCGTATGTTTTTACTCCTTTGCAAATCCCAGGCAAACATGCTTTTGGAGACCTGTCTGATGTTGAGTTTCTTGCCACAATGGGGACCCCAAGCTTTTCCTAAAGTTGTAGGCAGAGTGTTTTCACCTTCTTGGGTGAAGATTCCTTGGTTCCTAGACCAAGGGTCCTGGGTCAAGTGATGGAGTTGGAGGAGGGAAGGCAGCATTTAGAAACCCAGCAGTGTTACTTCTCATCCATCCGACTATGTTTCACCCTCAGAGAAATGATTTTCTTATTGGTCTCCAAGAGACACAATCCCATTTAAGAGCATCTCAGCAGTTTCGCTGTCTCTGGAACCTTCTAGAGATGATGGCTGGCTGGCTATAATTGTGACTGTAGGTGCCTCATCATTTGTTTTCAGGCATTTCAAATTTTCTGTTTCTTCTGCTGATCACAATTGTCGATGTATTGGCATTACATACCAATTTTTAAGGTGTGTGAAGGTCAGTGGGCTTTATCACCACTCATTTCCAAAGCAGAAGCCTCCCCTAACTGGAAAGACTTATTCTAACACCACAGAGGAGCCTCCTCCCCAAAGTTTCTAAGAGCCCAGAGCATGAACTTTGGGCTCTAGACAGAAGGCCTAGGGGGAGGTCGGGAGGGGGGTGGCGCCCTGTTGGGAGGTGGAGCCTGAGGAGGAGGGGGAAGGGTGGAAGGTGGGGATGGAATTGGAGGGGTGGGAGCACTGGGGGGTGGGGGAGGGCAATGGGGAGCAGGGGGTGGGGGGGTATAAATGGGGGCAGGAGGCGGTGAGGTGGTGTGGTAGGCGTTGTTGAGAGGGTACTTGGTGGGCTGATTGTTCTTGACTCTGGTGAAGTTGATACAGCGCCCCTGGAAGAGAATCAGAGAGAAAGACATGTGAGCTGATATTTGCTGTTTACATCAGGGCAGAAGGGAGGCCCGGTGGGCAGCTTGAAAGAAACACGTAGAAAGCAGACACAATGTTTATGACAATACTTTCCTGACATATGGTAGAACTTAACAAATAAATTCCCCATTTCTTTTTTTTCTGGGCTTACTGTGTTGTAAAATTATTGGTTAAATCCATTTTCCTGGAGGCTCTCTCTCAAAGGGGAGGAAGAAGAGGGAACTGACCTTAACTGGACACGTGGGGTCAAGCTGTTTACAGAGGTCATCGGATTTCATCTCAACAGCCTTGCCAGCCAGGAACTGTTATCAAATATTCATAGTTCATAGGTGGGGAAACTGACGCTCAGAAACATTAAATGCCTTTCCCAAGACCGCTTAACCAGGAAGAGGTGGCGGTTGGTGACTGAATCCCAAAGAGGCTCCAGAACCTCTCTTCTTGCTACCACACGCTCATGTCTTCTAAGGAGGCAGGGGACTCCACATTTTTTAAACAAAGGGAACTTGTTTCAACTGCTTTTGGTGATACTCCTGGAGGCAGTAGCAGGCAGACACCATGAGCTTTTCCTGTACTGTAACTCGAGCTCAGTCAGTCTGTGATCTGTGCTGTCATGAAGGTGGCAAACCAGGGTGACTCTAAGAGGTGCTCATGCATTTGCCTCTCCCCATCAACTTCTGCCCCCTTCAGCCATTGGCGCTGAGGGGTGACTTAAGGAGGCAGCTCCCCTTCCTGCTGTGGACATACACCAGTCGATCCAGCCTCCCCCTCCATGCCCCTGCCATCCCCAAAGCTCCGTCATGAATAATTTCTCCTGCTCTTGATCTGGTTGGGGAAGTCCCGCTTCTTCCAGATGCTGCTGCACCTGTTCAGACATGCTTAGGTTCTTAAGAGTTAGAGCCTGGGGATATTTCATTGCAAAGCAGACATCTGCCCTGAATTCTGATTCCCTAGCCTCCCCTTGCTGCCCTCCTTCCTGGGGACCTCACTAGACAATGCAGAGCAGATACCTAGAGGCCCTATAGCAGCCTCTAGAAAGTCCAGAACCTGCAGCCAGCCCAAGTAGCCCTCTCTCCTTTGTGGTGTCACCTCTCAGCTCTCCAAAGTCAGTCCTCCCTGCCCTGCCATCCCCCTCCCCCAACGGATGACATTCTCCTTCCTGTGCCTGTGCTCCATTCACTTTTGGCATCAGACTCTCCTGCCTTGCTTGGGCAGGATGTAGACCCACCCTTGTGGGGTCCTAGCCTTCCTCCAAATGTCCTGAGCCTGCAGGACACCTTGTTGTCCCTTCTACTATGTGTCCTGGATGCCTGCAGAATCCCTGCCCCCCAAGGAGGTGGGGTGGGGGCGCATGACTTCCAGGCTGTCCTGCCCCTTTCTCTCTCTCTCCTGCTCATTCTAACCTGATACGATGCTATACTGGGGCTGGAGCTGGTGGGTGGGTTTTTCCCAGCTTCACCCTCCAGGATGGATGCCCAGCATGGGGCATCTGCCCTGGATGGGATATGTCTAGAGAGGCTGGACTTTGCCTTTACAGGCCTTTGGAGGAAGGGGTCGAGGGGGAATGAAGAGGGCGAGTTTGTGGAATTTAAGGCACAATCACCTATAGGAGATACAAGTGCATGACCTGAGACGTGGCTCGGGCCGAGAGTCATAGCAGGGACACGATGCATTGTGGGAGACAGTGGAGGCTGAGCCAACCTGGCTTCACATGCACCCACCCCACTCATCTGAGTCCTAAGTCAGTCCCTTCCTTCCCCCTCCCCCTCCCCCATCTTTCTCCAGCCTTCATGGAGCCTTTTCTTCCCTCCTTGGATTCTCTAGTTACAGTCTATGTCACACACAGAAGCCTACAAACTATAATCTCTAGTTGTTTGATTGGTGAATGCCTTGCCTCCTTGACCAGATGAGAAACTTCTGGAAGGCAGCAGCCTTGTTTTACACTCTGCTGCTCCACCATTGGCTTAGGAATTACAATGCCATATTTAGATGCCAGCACCCCATTCCTCTGAGTTTGCATTTCATGAGATTAGAACAAGGCCTAACCTTGTTAAATTCTGATTAGGGGCCAGCTAACTGCAGAAGTAAGTCCTCATCTCCTCACGGCATTGCCCAGAATTCCCAGGTCAGTCAGTGTGAAGCTCTCGCAGGTTAAACCTAAACTTTGTAACCCAGTGCTGTAAGTTCCCAGTTGTCCAAGAAGCCCTCCTTTTTTTTTTTTTTTTTAAGATTCTTTTTTTTTTATTTGAGAGAGAGGGAAGGAGAGAGAGAAGGAGCAGGGGTGGGGGAAGGACAAAGGGAGAAGGAAAGCTCCCCTCTGAGCAGGGTGCCCAATGTGGGGCTTGATCCCAGGACCCCGGGATCATGACTTGAACCGAAGGCAGACACTTAATGACTGAGCCACCCAGGCCCCCCCTAAGCAATCCTCTTACAGCTATTTAAAAAAGACAACAGGCCTAAAATGGAGTCACCTATGCTAATCCCCATGTCAGCAAATCAAGATTCAATACCTAACTTAATTGCAGTTTCAAACATTCCCAGAAGTGTAATCTTAAACCTGTCAATCTGGAATTTCCTTGCCAGCATTAGTGAGGCAATCTGCCTGAAAGGTCCCTTCTGTCCCTCAAAGAAAGATGAGGTAACCCACTCTTTCCTGTCCCTGCCCCCTTCGGCCTATAAAAGTCTCCATTTTGTACAGCTCCTTGGAGCTCCTTTCTATTTGCTAGCTGGGATATAGCCTGATTCATGAATTGTTGAGTAAAGCCAATAAGATCTTTAAATTTTATTCAGTTGAATTTTGTTTTTTAGCACAGCTTTATAAATCTAAGCCTTGGGAATAGTTTATTTATAATTCTGGATAAAGCTCTTTCCTTCAAGAATGTTAAAGTCCTAATGATTACCATCTGTGATAAATTCCTGTAATGGACGACTCAGAGTTGGGATTTACTGTACTACATATTCTGCCCTTTGTTCCTAGACAGGCCAAGTCAGATAAAGAGGCTCAAAAGATTCATTTCCTCTAAAGATGAAGGAGAATTCTGATCCTGAAGATGGAGTTGCTGGTGCCTGGGGTCAAGTCCCCATATGGCTTCAGATTTCCCTGAGGGCTGGCCATCCCACAGCTCCCTCCCTGGGGTAGGGGTTCGGGGGCTGCAGTAGAGAGAGGAGGGATGCTAATTCAGAGGACTGTTTACTGTTTCACACACTGTAATGCTAATATTTTTATCAGAGGCTATTTTGTCCAGAGACAAAATCAGGAGCTCCCAGCCTTCTTCTACCAGTACATCGGTTCATAACCCAGATTAGGATCGCCATATGTCTTCAAGAAAGTGTGAAAGGATTCCACAGAATAAAAGATGTTCTCTCACATCTGTCAGCTGTGGAGGTGGTGGATGGGAGTGAGGTGGGAGAAAGACCTCCTTAGGCCAGTCCCTCCAGCTGCTGTCATGGCCTCTTGACCAAAGCAACAGAAGGATGGGGTGGGGTGGGGAGGGAGAGAGGCAAGAAGCCCCTTTCCTGTGGTCAGTAGTAGTCCAGGGGCACTCATGTGTCTCCAGCTCCAGACCACTAGGCTATGGTTCATTGGGTACCCCAGCCCATTAGAGCTGAGCACAGCAGCCCAGAGCTCTTAGTAAGCAGCCAAGACTGGGTGGGGGCCAGCTCACTGTCTCCTCCATGCCCCCACTGCGTGACATGGGATGGAGAGAATAATGTCGCCTGCCACTTAGAGTCATTACGAGGATTAACTTAATCAATGTTGATGAATGCCTTGGAACAATGCCTACCACATGGAGTTTGTAAATGAAATGGAGTCTAGATGGAGAAACAGATGCTCAGACACAATAATGAATTTGTGTAGGGTAGGAAGGCCAGTTGGAGGTAGGATCAGGTTTTCTGACTCCTAGTTTAGTGCCTTCTAAGTGAGTGGCAGCCTAGAGCCTCCACAGTGCGCACCTGGCTTCCATAACAAAGCTGGTGTAGGACGGGGGAATGTAGCCCTGAACATGGGACCAGAGCCGTCCCCAGAGTCCACTGTCTTATGCCCTCTCTCTACCTTCCCATGGCACGAAACTCCTGTAACTGATTCCTATAGGACCTCCCACCATGCTTTGCACACACAGTTGACTATGATGCATCTACACATATTTATCGTCCTGAAGAAAGGTGCAGACTTGGCACAAACGAATCCCTGAGGTCAGTTACAGTAAGATGCAATTAGGACTTCGGGGAGGGGTGTGGCTACAAATTAAGTTCTTAAAACCTGGAACCGGAGGAGCCAACACAAACACTGTAACACTTAGACCATATAATTGGCCTAAAGATCAGTTTACACGACATCATTTTTTGCTTGTGAGAGGATAATAGAAAGGCCAGATGTTCTCAGTGTCATATATGCCAGCAAATCTGCACCAGTGTTTGCTTAAAAGGTTGCTAGGACGACTGGAGCTCTCAGTTCATACCCTGGTCTTTGTAACCCAGTTAAATTCTTTGCAGGATTGTTTTTGGGAGGCTTGATTTGGATCCAGTGTTCGGCTTTGACCTCAGTTTACTTCGGCTTGCTCATTTACAAAGTACAAGTGCCAATTATTTTCACACATTAGCAACAAAATACTCTGGTTAAATTCGAAGAAGAAAATGTAGTAATATCTCCTGCTAAGTGGTGTCTTAGCAGGATGTTAGGTGGCTTTTCTCCTAGGCTAGAAAGCGCCATTTTGATTTGACTGAATCTAATGGTGTTGAGAGGATTATTAGGAATGTCTAGGCACAGCATTTTTACTCATTATTTTCACTGTACAGAAAGGAGACTGAGGGCACAGGCTTATTTAAATACAGCGCCCAAGATGATAGAGGGGTAAATGGTAGAAGTGGGATTAAAAACAGCTCTGCTTGCCTTAGGCACTTATCCTTTTTTCCTCTGTTATCCTGAATATAGACTAATAATGTAAATATTTTCCTGACTCACTTG